ACTTAGGTTATGAGGAATATTTTATCGTGCTATTTAACTAACTGGAGACGAGTTATTTACTTTCGGAAAGGCAGGAAACGACTAGAAAAATTATGCTACCAAAGCGCAGATAAAATTGTTTTAAAGTAGTTAGAACGAATGGTCTCCTTTTCATTACTTAAATGATCATGCTTCCAGTTGAAGCGAGTTAGTAATATCAATCCATCTTGCGATATAAGGCAACTTGGAATTCATCATAAACTCAAAGTCTTTGTCTAATGCTTTTGCTCACTGAAGTCACCTATTGTATCCACTCTTTACGTGGCATATGTTCTGTTTTCAAGCTTGCTTCATCTTGCTTTTATCCAGCATCAAATTATGCTTACGCTGATCGGCATTACACTCCTTGCACTTTAAATAACAATTCATACTTAAATTAAAAACCATTTTTAACCAATCGGATTGAAGAAGCAAAATACCAGATTATTGAGGTGAATTTTTGAGTTTCTCTTCAGTTTACATTTGAGTTTTATTGACTGGCAATTTATGTTTTATAAACACCACCTAATTACGTCCAATCGCAAACAAAAGGTTAAATGCAACTTAATCGGAGCTCAAGGAAGTTTTATTACATTTTACAGACCGATCAAATCTATGATATTTTTAAAGGATGTAATAGTGCTCTAGACTTAGTTGTATCTTAGTGAAGTTTGAATATTTTTTGCTGATCAGCTAAATCGAATGATTCGGAATACACAAAGAATTTTCATTGACTGATTTAAAGGTAGTAACAATGTAAGAAGACAACAATCCCTGAAATGCATCTATACAATTTTTGTCTTATTTTTCTGAAGAAAATGTCTTTATCACGACCAAAGTGCAGCTTAAAAATTTCTATCCTAGTTGGTAGTTTATAATTTGAATAAGTCAAACCTCTGAGCAAAGATCCTATCCCAATTTTCTCGCATTTTTAATCTCTTATGCAAGCCACTGTTCAGAAAGCTTATAAAATTATTTCTCTTTTTTTCATTTCGGCTTTCCAAACTAGGTTTAAAAAAAGATTATCTATTATTACTTTTCTCCTCTTTCTCTTTTGATATTTTTGAATATGGATATAACCCGTTAAGTAGTCATAAATACCACATTATGAGGATTACTCTAGTTGCTAAGTTATTGGGGGTTAAAGTTTGAAGACTCATCGTTAAAAGTATCTGTATTTTAATAAGCATATCAACACTATACTTCGGACATTCGTGGTTGTGACGAGGAGGAAACCCTGACATTTAATATGCAAGAATTGAATGGTAATCTTGTTGGGAAGGCTGATGAGTCACAAGAGTGATATAAAATGCAGTCCGTCCAGAATAAGAGGTAAGGCTAAGTAAACTTAATTGGAATGGAAGAGCCTTCTACCTCTTTCATTGAGAGAAATTCAACTACCAGTCCTTACATTATCGTAACTCCTGCTCTTATTCAAGATCAATTACTGATTTTATAGCTCGGCGTATATAATAATTAAAAAAATGTGACTAATATTCGAATCTGGCTTTATTATTTTCATATCATTTATTATTTCAAAATAAATTAGATGATAGCTCATCCCTTTATATGAAAATCAACTTATTATTTAGTTTTACATGCTTTCCTTTTCGATAGTTATGTTGAGTCCAAAGATGAGTTTACAAATCATTTTAGAAATCAGTGAAATTTTCTCAACAAACTCAAAAGCCATATAAACAGCCTTAATTTTGTGTCGCACATCGACAGTGTTGCTGCTTGACTTCTTTTGTTACTAGTTTGCTTTGCAATGCTTTATATTAGGCAAGTATATGCGACGAAAAAGCGGGTTTGGATGGATCTTCTAAAATAATATTATTGTAGAGACTTCTTTTCTTATGAAAGTGCATGCTGAAGAGATTCGTGGGTCGATTTCATCATCAGAAGAAAGTTGATTTCCGTAGCCTTCTGGCTTTAATACTATATTCAGGTTGACAAATTTACGAAAAATCTTCCCTCTTTTCGGGTAAAAATGGGCTGAGCTTTCGTCAGAGCTGGATCTATTATTTGCACTTCTTGTTTCGAACATCAATCTGATATGCCTTTCTTTATTGTGTCCATGACTAGAATTATAAAATTATTTGTTCCCAGACCTATCCACAGAGTGGTCATATTAATGATAAAGTAAACTTTAGAAACTCATTTTCACTCATCTAAACACATAGCTACTGCAAAATTAACTTTTCATCCTAATTCCTTAGCAAGGTTGTTTTCACGCTAGCCCTCAATACATTTTAGTTTACTCAGGAAAAGTTTTGAGTATGTATTTTATTCTATATAGTTTTCTACTAAAGCAAACTTCTCCTTTTGCTATGTACTCTTCCATCTTTGGTAGAATTACGACATTGTCCTACAGCATTAATGCTCTCTTAAGATAGGTAGCTTGCTATCTAATACAGGCCATCAGAATTATGATATAATTTGCCTAGCCACTTCTTATTTAGTACTGAATTCCGTATCATTCTGTACTCTATGCTTCCTTATGCATACAAATCCCTCTAGAGAATCTACGCAGAAATGGACACTGGGTATTTCCTTGCATGCCTAACCTACCCTCTCCTCTCGCATCTTCTGTTGCCATCTTTCCTTTCGCCGCAGCGGCGGCGGCAGCCACTGCCGCCTTCAGTAACGCTCCCAACTGTCCTGCCCCTGGCCCATTACAAGCCATCTCTCATGTCAATACGCATGCATATCAACATCATGGACAGTCAATGCCTCATCAAGCAGTCGTATCTGCAGATCCTATACCACTGTCTACATTGCCGTTTACGCCTCTATGTCCCGTTTCCTCATCATCTACGCACAATTCCTTCATGAACAGTTGTTCCGACTTTGCTCCTGGCCGGCCTGATTGTGCTCTTGGACCGCTATCGTTCCACTCTCTACTCGGGTATCTGATAAATCCGGTTACTGAACTATCCATTAATCCGCCTGTAGGGTATCGAGTCGGTGCCGCTGCAAATCCCTCCAATTCTTCAGGCGGCGTGATCACTGCATGTCTTGGTTACAATCAGACTCTATCGGTGCCCAGTCCAGTCAGCAATGCCAATGTACAGAGCACTGGTAATAATACAACTGCTAACAGCATCACAGCTGCTATGACTGGCAGTGCTAACCTCTGTACCGCTTTCTCATCGATTTTCAATAAGGCTGGAAACACCAGTGTTACTAATCAAGCGACAGCAAACCCAGCTGTTGCAGCGGCAGCTGCTGCCGCGATCGCTGCCGCTAATCTGGCCAATACCATTCTTGTCTCTTCACACGGATCTTTTCCCCTTCATCTAGGTCGCGAACTAACAGTTGGTCATGCCGCTTCTGAATCTACTAATTCAAATTTCGCCTCACAAGCTATTACTTCAATCTCTTCGCTTTCATCTGCTTTCACCCCTGTCGCTTCCTTAACCCTTCCTCTCTCCACTGCAAAATCCACCACTACATCCATTTCTCTGAATAATGCTTTGATTCCAACAGTGAATACCATTTCGAATACTGGCCGTATAAGTTCAGTGCCCACTCCAAATACAAGCAGCAATGGATCGCATCTAGAGATCGTCGGGCTTGAACATGGTGCCTCTGAGGTAGAAGCGCATCAAGTGCGTGGCTCTGGATTTTATGTCCAGCAGTGCTCTGACAATCAAGCTTCAGGCTACCAACACTTGGTTCATGCACCCCTGCATCAGCATCTAAATCCTCACCAGACTGTCAATTTCGTCTCAAACCTCTTTCCTGTTTCATTTGGAAGCCATCAACTAAACCCGTTTGGAGCACAGCCAACCGTTGCACCAACACATCACCATCAACGCCAACATTATCGCCATCAGCATCACTATT